AAGTGCAGTGTTTCAAGGCTAGTGAGGTGGGAATTTTATTTCATTCCAAAAGGAAGGGGGCATGGTTTCACATGAAAACTATCAGTTTAAATGTGCTAATAGTGAATTTACAAATTAGTCCATGCTTTTCTACAAGAGAAAATGAACGTAAGGGACTCCAAGTAATTTAATAAGCAAATTTCTCATAAAATCATCCAGAAAAGATGATAGTCCAGAAGAATTGACAGAAACAAAAGCTTGAAAGCACAAGGTATTTGCATCATTTTTATGTAATGTGTTGTTACTATTATGATGACTTGTTTGATTTATTTGCATACATTTGCATGGATTTATTTGTTTAAATTTGTAGATCAATTTTCTTGCTGTGGTATAGCTGTGATGAGGTCATCTGAGTGCACACAATGATATTTTTCTTTATATATACATTGACAGCTCACTTAGGTTATAGTCTTGATTATTCCAAGAAGTTATGTATCAAGAATTTCATGCTTTATTCTATATATTAAATTATGTATCTTAAATAATTGTGTTGAGTTCATTTATCTGAATTCATACAATGATATTTTTTTATATATACATTGATGAATTGTTGGAATGTAGAGAAATGAGAATCTGGGTGAATTATAATAATGACTTTATTGTGTGTATTTGTTAAATACTGTAGTGTAAGAAATTTTATTCATTCTCTTAAGTAATGGAACTAGTCTGGAACTAATATCTCGGTGTGGTGCTAAATGGCAATCAGCCAACCATTAATTTTGGGAAACTAGGTTTGTATGTCTGTCATGACCAATTAGACTAGATAGCCATGGTATGCTTGAATCCAAAAGAATTTTATATGACATGATGGGAGAGGGGTATTGATCTATTCCCCCAGTATAATGTGGTGGAAGATTTAGGTTGCTTTGTTTATATTTTTACAAGGTGAGATAGCTTCATGAGTCATACTAACCAGACATGACAGGAAGTCTCATGTATTACAAACCCAAAAAGGCTACACAAAGCTGGAAAGGCCAAAAATGGTGAGATACTGGAAAATTCAGAAAAAAGAAGGGAAAAGTGGAGAAGTCTTGTCACCCAGACTTACTGGCACAAGGAAGTCTAAAGGAACAGTTAATGTGGACATTGCACTGAAATAAGACATCAGGTTATGAGTTGAGACAAGGCAGTGGGTTTTTTTGATCTTACACTTGATCTAATGATGAATTAATTTTATCGGGTAACAAGTTGGCTATTGATATAACCAAATTTTTTAAATTCCTTGAATAAGTTTGTCCAAAAAGAAAGATGTGTATCTTTCAAATTATAATGTTTATCATACTTGTTTGTGAATTTTATGCTTATAAATTTTGATTAAATTTTGTCTTTGTTTGTAATGGGGGCTCACATTGTTCTGTTCTATAAATCTGCTCAGATCTTTATTTATTCCACCCATATTTTATATGGACATTTACCCATTCGGGGCAAATTACACTGTCAGTGATCACCTGTAGATAACTATAGCCAAAGCCATGTAACCAACCACAAGAAAGTTGAGGAGGGGTTTACAATAGTGCCTTTCCAAAAAGGACATTCTGAGGCAGTAAACTCAAGATGATTAGGGTGAGTATCTAAACCCATGACCACATGGATAACAAGTAAGATACTCCACCAACTGAGCTAACATGGCTAGAAAGTGAGTTTGGCAGTCTCAGAAACACAGTGATAAAGAAAGCTTTATGGTTGTATAAATAGAATTTTTCAGAGAGAGAGACAGACAGACAGACAAACAGACAGACAGACAGACAGAGAGCATATATATAAATGGAAAGAGACAGATTCTTTTCTTTCTAATAATGAAGCATCCTTATCTTTGCAAAAAATAAGACCTGGGAAAATTCCAACCCTGAATTTACTATTACTAAAATCAACAACTGGTAAAAATGGTTTAATCTAAACAGTTCAACACTGTATTTTAATTTTCATTGTTGGAGCTTTTAAAATTTCAGCTCAATGTTTATACATGTTTCTAATATTTGGAGATTTACATGCAGCTACCTTTTAAAACTTTTTTTCCTTGTCATTTTATATCAACAATAAAGCAGGTATAAAAATATTAAATTAAATTAAAACTTAATCTCTCATATTTATGAGTGGTGGCTGAGGAAGGGCATGTCAATTCTTCATCTTACTGGACAAGAGGCATTTTAAGCTAATTCAGTATCATGGACAGTGCATGATGGGTAAAACAGAGGCAAGACAATAAAAAGTTCCAAAGCTAGTACCCAGCAAGATGTGTTGCCAATGGAAAGTTTGTGGGGCTCTGAATATAATGTAAAAAGTAAAATTTATCCAAAGCTGTTAAGTTATACATTTTTAGTAATAGGACTATATCATACAGAATTCATTTTGTTACCTTTATAAATCTTTCTTTATACCGCAAATTCAAAATTTTTCTAAAATTGGAATATACTCATTGTGAAAATATATAACTGCTAATTGTAAGTAATAAAAATGACTGGGCCTTATGATGTGGAGCCTGCTGTTTTGCTGAGTTTTCAAGTAACAGACACAAGAAGTGATGAATGCTGCAAATATTCATTCCACTTTCAAAACCTTGTAATAACCAGTGAAGAGGATGGTGCAGGTCCAAGCGTTTGCACTGGATTTGAGTAATTTATCTATAATATATTGCATTCAATTTATAATTTTATGTTGGTAACTATTTTTATTATATGGGATCAAAAGTTAGATTATCTTAACAACCTCCCCACCCCCAAAATATTCCTTATTGTGAAAAATAGAATATATCCTGAGTTCAAGCTAGGTTGCATGTTGCATCAATGGCTCAAAATAATTATCACTGTCAAACCCACTAAAATATGGATGATGCATCAGAATGCTACCATGATTTGCACATCTCTAGTTGTAAGTTTATCTCTTTACATGTGATCTGAGATGTAAAGCTTTGTTATACTATCTCAATATATATTACACACACACACTCACACACACACACATACACACACATACTCACACACACACACACACACACACACACACACTTTAATTTTCAAGTAAAATATTAAGACCAACTAGATCCAAAGTTTCCTAAAATCAACCAACACAACTCCCACAAATTTCTCCATTATTTAATGCTTCGAGTCATTTTGCAACCATATACTAGCAAGAGAAGTTTCATATGAATGATTTGGGTGATAGCCTGATTGTCTATTGTACAACAGATTGTGTTTATCAAGAAAAATCATTTGGGATTCATAAGAATGTTTTGTGAGAATCTTTTATAAGACAGAAAGAAATGAGATGGGCCAGGAATTATTTATTTCATCAGGCTCTTGTTGCTGCTTCATGCCAGGGAATTCATGTTTAGCATAGTCATGCATGATAATTCCTCATATCCTATGCAAACATACCTTCATGAACATGTCAAGTTTTTCATGGAACAAATGAGTTTGCCTAAAGACACTTCCATTGTTTCACTGAGTCTGTTTGTATATCTGACTCTTCAAGGATAAAGGCAGTGCACTGAAGCAGAAATATTTGTAAAATGATCAAACCGTAGATAGGTACAGGTAAGTTATTTTCATTTACAGATCAATCAACATTTCTTTTGTAAAATGATGGATTCAGGTTGCTGTTCAAACCCTTTGGGAAAACCCCCAATCAGCATTAAGTAATGACTGCAGCTTACTGACAAGCAAGCAAAGCACTTTATATAAATTTAATTCAGTATAAAAACTTAAGAAACTTTTTAGCTTTGCATTAAACCTATCTTCTTTCCTAGGCAATACATCAACACTGAGTTCATTTAGTGTGATTTACTAGCAAATGGTGGAAAGTTTCTTTCAGTAAATATGGGAGGACTGCAGAATATATCACATAAGAATTTGACTCAAATAGTGATAGAATCTTTTAAAATGCAGGTTTACTTGCATTCAACACTACATGTTTTTTTATCTAAAGTGAATAATCAGAGAAAGAGATATCTATGTGTTAGATATGAATCCATGGTTTCTGACTTGTTCTTATATCATGTCTTTCATGCATATAGACTTGTTCTCATATCCTGTCTATCATGCATAAACTAAATGATATAAATAATAATAATAATAATAATAATAATAATAATAATAATAATAATAATAATAAAAAAATAAATTATTAATAAAATAATAATAATAATAATAATAATAATAATAATAATAATAATAATAATAATAATAATAATAATAATAATAATAATAATAATAATAATATAATTTTTACAAGATGAGGTGCATTAAGACAACAAATGCTATTCAAAAATTAGATAATTGATCTACTGCTACAATAAAATATGCACATGGTTTGAAAGAATAGTACATACAGGATTCATACAAAGAGTAGTTTAAATTCATGATATAAAAATGTTTTAAACAGTAGTACAGAAGAAAACAAAATCATGCAAATGTTTGTTTCTATAGATACTGACCAAGAAGCTCTTTAAAAGCTTGCCATGAGTCAAGTCACTTTACATTGGGTGATACGGTATGCCATAATTTGACTCCAGAAAAAGCAAAACTCTTCTCATAAAACTCTGAATTTGGTTTAGGTAAATATAACTTGTTGTTTGAAAGGATCTTATTTCACACATATGTACATTTTCAACAAAATTTAAAGTTAGATTTAAGATAATCAGGGGCCAATCCATGTAAGGATTTATAGACTAGTAAACCATTTTGAAACTGAGTTTTCGGCTGAAATGAAAGCCACTTTATGGTTTTAAAATGAATTGGTGATGCTGCATCTAAATCTACATAAAAAATAGCCCTAGCTACTTTTTTTTAAATTTCAGTAATCTTAATTTTCTATATTACTATAAACCTAGATAGAATAAAAATATTCTAGGTTTAGCATGATATATGCATCTATCTCTGTTTTTGAGGAAGATATAATATTTTATTATCTGATCTTAAACATTGCCAATTTTTCATATGTTGGGATTCAAATCCAAAATATACAGCTCTTGTGGCCTGAGTGGTTAGAGAAGCTGTCTCTGATACAATAGGTCGCGGGTTCGAACCCCAGCTGAGTCATACCAAAGACTTATAAAAAATGGTACTAGCAGCAGCCTTGGTTGGCACTCAGCATTAAAAGGTTAGAGTTAGAGCCTGTTGGCCTGGTGTAAGGATAATGTGACTGTCTGTGGCCTGATGCCCCAGAGCAAGACATCATAATAAACTGACACACCAACATCATAGTGATATGACTGAAAAACTGTTAAAGCTAAATTAAACAATTCAAATCACACACACACACACACACACACACACACACACAGAGACACACTAAATATGTAACTAAAGCATATAATTGCTTTTATCAGTGAAAATATCTAGCCTGTTTTATATATTCTGCCTCAAATAGTTTCCTAATCTTGTTTTAAAAGCTAACAGCAGCTATTAAAAAGTAGACATTCTGCCATAGGGCATCACAAAGAGCCACTCTTTCAATACTGTAATTTATTTTCCAGATCCTTAAACAGAGGAACTTCTATTGGGAAATAAAAGATAGGAACCATAACTCCTCTAAAAATAATGACACTGTATGCTGCAGATCCAATTTACTCTTTATTATGAAGATGCACATCGAATTTGGATGAAATCCATCCTTCCTCCATAAAGTAATGCTGCAGAACCAAAGTCTGGAGGATGGGTAATCTTGGAGGCCATAAATGCCATGGAATACTACAGAGTTTCAGGATGGCTAATAAGGGGACATAACTCCTTTAGATACTGTCATGGAATACTATAAAACAAACTCTTTCTAGGCCTCATCATAAAAAGGTGCCTTCTGAATATGGTTTAAACTTACGAGAAATTTATTAAAGTTTTGCTGCAAGACACTAAGTTATAATAATAGGAAATCATGGGTCATAACTCCTGTAAATGATTTTGTGGAATACAAGACATCAAAAAGATTCAAGATCTCATCAGTATGAAGATGCATATCAAATTTGTTTAAAATTCAATCACATGTAGACAGACAGATACAACTTTACTTTTAGTATCCCACTAACTTCTTTGAGATGGCCCCCATTAACTTCATTGAGGGACCCATTAACTTCACTGAAATGGACCCATTAACTTTATTGAGATGGACCCATTAACTTCATTGAGAGGGACCCATTAACTTCACTGAAATGGACCCATTAACTTCATTGAGATGGCCCCATTAACTTCACTGAAATAGAACCATTAACTTCATTGAGATGGCTCCCATAACCTTTATTGAGATGGCCCCATTAACTTCATTGAGATGGCCCCATTAACTTCATTGAAATGGCCCCCATTAACTTTATTGAGATGGACCCATTAACTTCATTTAGATGGATCCCATTAACTTCACTGATATCAACCCATTAACTTCATTGACATGGCCCCAATTAACTTTATTGAGATTGACCCAATAACTTCATTGAGATGTACCCATTAACATCATTGAGAGGGACCCATTAACTTCATTGAGAAGGTCCAAATAACTTCACTGAGATGGACCCATAAACTTCTCTGAGAGGGACCCATTAAACTTCAGTGAGATGGACCAATTAACTTCATTGAGAGGCCCCATTAACTTCATTGCAAGAGACTTATTAACTTCAATGAGAAGACCCCATTAACTTCCTTGAGATGGCCCCATTAACATTATTGAGAGGGCCCCAATAACTTCCTTGAGAAGGCCCCATTAAGTTCATTGAGAGGGCTATATAATGTTTTGTCCATTTATCATTATTGTTTCTAGAAATTATATCATAAAAGGAACGCTAAACAAAAAATGAAGAGATTATGTTTCTCATGTTTAAAGTAAATGAAAGCAATGTTGAGATGGCTTTCTGGAAAGTCTCATTGGCTGTTAACATTAACCAAATTTTAAATTGCCATACAGCAATACACTGAAGACTCCTCCAGTTACTATCTGTGCAATACAATCTAATCTGTCTAGTACCTGATCAATTTCTGAGGATTACATTTATCTAAAGATCTGTCAGTAATCATGAACAACTGCATAATAAACAAAGAGAAACACAACATTCCCAAATAACTTTCATAACAAAGACAACAAAGAGAAACACAACATACTATCTTAATAAAGATAACAAAGAAGAGCACAGTCCAAATAGCTTACATAAATCAGACAACAAAGAAGAACACAATCCAAATAGCTTACATAAATCAGATAACAAAGAAGAACACAGTCCAAATAGCTTACATAAATCAGACAACAAAGAAGAACACAGTCCAAATAGCTTACATAAATCAGATAACAAAGAAGAACACAGTCCAAATAGCTTACATAAATCAGATAACAAAGAAGAACACAGTCCAAATAGCTTACATAAATCAGACAACAAAGAAGAACACAGTCCAAATAGCTTACATAAATCAGATAACAAAGAAGAACACAGTCCAAATAGCTTACATAAATCAGACAACAAAGAAGAACACAGTCCAAATAGCTTACATAAATCAGACAACAAAAAAGAACACAGTCCAAATAGCTTACATAAATCAGACAACAAAATAGAATGCAGTCCAAATAGCTTAAATAAATCAGACAACAAAGAGGAACACAATCCAAATAGCTTACATAAATCAAACAACAAAGAAGAACACAGTCCAAATAGCTTACATAAATCAGACAACAAAAAAGAACACAGTCCAAATAGCTTACATAAATCAGACAACAAAGAAGAATGCAGTCCAAATAGCTTAAATAAATCAGACAACAAAGAGGAACACAATCCAAATAGCTTACATAAATCAAACAACAAAGAAGAACACAGTCCAAATAGCTTACATAACAAAGACAACAAAGAAGAAGAACACAGTCCAATTAGCTTACATAATAAAGACAACAAAGAAGAAGAAATAGTCCAAATAGCTTACATAAATCAGACAACAAAGAAGAAGAACGCAGTCCAAATAGCTTATATAATAAAGACAACAAAGAAGAAGAACACAGTCCAAATAGCTTATATAAATCAGACAACAATTGCTGATCTTCAAACCCAACAAGTGGAATCTATTGATAACACACTGCAGGTAAGATAAAACTCACTACATGCACCTGAAGCACTTCAAAAGTAATCATGTTGTTCTTTATCATTCTATGAATGAAACATAATGCACCTATAAGCATAACCAAGGTGTCAAAAAAGTGTAATCTAAAAAGGATAATTTATATATCACATGCCATGATTACAATAAACTATATGAAAAATGTACATTTAGCATTCCTATTAACATGGATCTGCAGCTGGTTAAAATTCTTGTTACAAGTGGGCAAAATCCATATGGATTAGTGCCAAAATACAAACACAAAACATACTGCAAAATTATTTTTACACAACACACGCTTTAACTAGTCTACAGGTCTAACATTTCACTAAATGACTGCCAAATCAACTCCTCAAATCCTGTATCTAACTGGGTGATATTTTAAACTTTATAACTGCATTACCTCACACAAATAATGTTTAGAAAATTTTTAAGGCAATAATGACTTGTCCTTTCGGATCTGATTGGTTTTAAAGTTTAAAAAAATGTCTCTTTTCTACCATTTTGCATAGTCATTTAATATTCATGAGTCACATTGATAAAACCAGCTTCATTTAACATATTGTGCCATTTTTTTACAGTATAGATTGGTCCTCCAACAAATTATTTCCATAAAACACAATGTAACATCTTTTTTTCCCCATACTGCAATCCAGTCTCTATTCACACCTTTTAGGCTCCATTTGTGAGTTCTGAAGAAACACATTGAAAGGGTTTGCATGTTGAACCCACAATCAAAGTTTTGCTGCAAGATGGGTGACCTTAACCCCAAGGTACATGTAAAATGACTGAGTGAGCTTGTCACAGAATTAACTGGTTTTGCCTCATAATGATTCACCCAAAACATGAAGAAAATCCATCAAGAAGTTTATGAAATACAAGCAAATGAAAATTATTAATGCAAAAATTGTCTATGAGTGTGACCATACCTATAGGTCAAAGGGCAACCAAACATGTTGCAGAATGAATTGTCTTAGCTTCAGAAAGATTCATGCCATAATATGAAGGAAATCTATCATGGTTTTTAAGAAATATAAGCAAACAAAATTTCTGGGTTTTTTCACCAAACCCTAATGCAAAATTTCCATAATTTTGACCCCAAGGCAAAAAGGATAAGCAAACATATCCCAGAAAATCATTCATCTCATGGGTGGAGAAAATTGTTCAGAAAATATAGGCAAATGAAAAAAAATTAATGCAAATTTTCTACGATTGCAATCTGGATTCCATGAAAAATCGAGCAGGTGAACAAATTGTAGAATTATTGCTTGATTCATATTAAGTATTGTTAGAATCTATCAAAATTAAATATTAAAAATATATTGCAAAAGAAAGAGTTTAACCAAAACATTAACATAGTTTTGACAACAATGACCCTGCTGGAAAAGTTACTATTACATCTTGCTTAATGTGTGCTTGATAAAAATTACATAAGTTTTCCTGTCCCACTGAACTTGCATACTGTATCTATGCTTTTCAGACAAGACAACAAGCTCTTTAGCAACAAAAGTTAATGGTTCTTTTATGAAATAATTGTCCCTGGTATTTAAAAAAAGAATCTCATCTAACTGTGAATCCGAAACAACAAAAAGCAGTGATGTAATACACAATGTTTCCGTGGACAATTGAAGGCTGTGGAAAACATATGGAATAATGTTTATGATCTTTCAGTGACTTGGCATCTTCAAAAAGGTAATTTATACAAAAAAGCCAACAACTTTGTTAGAAAAAGTGCTTTATTGAGAATTATTCCCAACAAAATGATTATAAAATAAGTATTCAGCCATTAAACAGGCCAGTTGACCTCCCCTCCCAGTTTACAAAACATCCAGTGGGGATGGCATCACCATTTTTTATAGGTCCCTCAGTAACCTGTGTCCTCACTTATAGTGGAGTCTTTGCTTTTGGACCCTGTTCTTTACATTAGTTATTGAGGGACACCTGATATTAGACCATGTGACTGATACTAGATCATGTGA